ACAAAAAAAAAAAAAACACCAACAAAAAACACCAACAACCACCAAAAAACAAAAACAACAAACCCAACCAAAAAACAACAAAACACAAAAAAAAAAAAAAAAAAAAACCTGCCCCCCTTCTCCTCCCCCCTCCCCCGGCGGCACACCCCAGACCGCCCAGCCCTAAGCTGGTCGGTGCGCCGCCAAGTCTCGCCCTCCTCCGCGACGCATGCCTTCTTCTTTCGTCATTGACGATGACGAGAAGAGAATGGAAGCCGACACGAGCCCCGGCTGCCGAACGAGAAGGGAAGAGATGTCACGAGCCAAACGGCCGCGTTCCCCCCCGCCCCTCGTCAGGCCCGTCATCATCACCGCCAAGCAGTCCTTCCACGGCCGAACGCTCGCCCCCCTAGAAGCGGAGATCGGGGGAGATCTGGGGGAGATCTGGGGAGATACGGGCTCGCCCCCCTAGAAGCGGAGATCTGGGGAGATCTGGGGGAGATCTGGGGAGATACGGGCTCGCCCCCCTAGAAGCGGAGATCGGGGGAGATCTGGGGGAGATCTGGGGAGATACGGGCTCGCCCCCGTAGAAGCGGAGATCGGGGGAGATATGGGGGAGATATGGGGAGATATGGGCTCGCCCCCTAGAAGCGGAGATCCGGGGAGATCTGGGGGAGATCTGGGGAGATATGGGCTCGCCCCCGTAGAAGCGGAATACGCACCTACGTATTCTTGTGTCCCAACCAGCGCTCGAGAAGACACGTATTCAGCTGTATCCCGCTGTATGTCGCTGCATTCGCCCCCCTCGTACTCACGCGGTGCTCTGAATGCTCTTCTCCACGATGCCGTCTTCCCGCCCTGAAGTTGGCGTATGCACACACAGAGGCACAGCCCCCGGACCCCAGATCACGCTCACACCAGTCCGAGAGCAGTCTTCGACGACAGTCGGACCGCACACTGGGTCCCCAGGAGGGCCAGGGGGGGGGGGGGGGGGGCAAAGCAGGGGCAAGGCGAGGGCAAGGAGGGCGAGGAGGGCGAGGAGGGCAGCGGGCGAGACAAGAGGGCACGGGACGTGCGCGCCGCGCATGCAGCGAGCGTGAGAGCGGGCTCTACTCTCACCGCAGGCTCGCCACCCTAGAAGCGGAGATATGGGGGAGATATGGGGGAGATATGGCTCTACTCTCACCGCAGGCTCGCCACCCTAGAAGCGGAGATATGGGGGAGATATGGGGGAGATATGGCTCTACTCTCACCGCAGGCTCGCCACCCTAGAAGCGGAGATATGGGGGAGATATGGGGGAGATATGGCTCTACTCTCACCGCAGGCTCGCCACCCTAGAAGCGGAGATATGGGGGAGATATGGGGGAGATATGGCTCTACTCTCACCGCAGGCTCGCCACCCTAGAAGCGGAGATATGGAGGAGATATGGGGGAGATATGGCTCTACTCTCACCGCAGGCTCGCCACCCTAGAAGCGGAGATATGGGGGAGATATGGGGGAGATATGGCTCTACTCTCACCGCAGGCTCGCCACCCTAGAAGCGGAGATATGGGGGAGATATGGGGGAGATATGGCTCTACTCTCACCGCAGGCTCGCCACCCTAGAAGCGGAGATATGGGGGAGATATGGGGGAGATATGGCTCTACTCTCACCGCAGGCTCGCCACCCTAGAAGCGGAGATATGGGGGAGATATGGGGGAGATATGGCTCTACTCTCACCGCAGGCTCGCCACCCTAGAAGCGGAGATATGGGGGAGATATGGCTCTACTCTCACCGCAGGCTCGCCACCCTAGAAGCGGAGATATGGGGGAGATATGGCTCTACTCTCACCGCAGGCTCGCCACCCTAGAAGCGGAGATATGGGGGAGATATGGGGGAGATATGGGGGAGATATGGCTCTACTCTCACCGCAGGCTCGCCACCCTAGAAGCGGAGATATGGGGGAGATATGGGGGAGATATGGCTCTACTCTCACCGCAGGCTCGCCACCCTAGAAGCGGAGATATGGGGGAGATATGGCTCTACTCTCACCGCAGGCTCGCCACCCTAGAAGCGGAGATATGGGGGAGATATGGGGGAGATATGGCTCTACTCTCACCGCAGGCTCGCCACCCTAGAAGCGGAGATATGGGGGAGATATGGGGGAGATATGGCTCTACTCTCACCGCAGGCTCGCCACCCTGACCGCGACCGGCCAGCCCAAGTACCAGGAGGGGTTCGGACCGCTGCCCGACGGGTTCGCGTACGTGGAGTACAACGACGTGGACGAGCTCCGCGCGCTCGTCAAGTCGCTCACGCGGCCTCGCCGGTGCACGCGCACACGCGCGCACACGCACGCACACGCACACACAAACACACACACACACACACACAGGCACGCACGCACACACACACACACACACACACGCACACACACGCACACGCACACACAGGCACGCACGCACACACGCACGCACGCACGCACGCACGCACGCACGCACGCACGCACGCACGCACGCCGCCGCCGCCGCCGCCGGCCGCCGGGCCACCCACCCTCCCGCCCGTTGCAGGCACCAGAGACTGGGCGTCGAAGTCGACGTGCTCACATCGGCAAAGGCGCTCGGCGGCGGCGTGCCCATCGGCGCGATGATGTGCAAGGCGTCGTCAATCCGTTCGCGAATCGGCGCCCCTCCGCACCGGTGAATACCCTCATCGGCGCGAATGTTGTGCAAGGCGTCGTGCGATGTCCTGACGCCGGGCACGCACGCGTCAACCTTCGGCGGCAACCCGCTCGCGTGCGCCGCCGCGAACGCGGTGCTGCAGGCGAGCCCTTGCCTGCGAGTCCCTACCTGCCGACCAGCACGCGGGAGGGCGCGTAGTCGGCCGAAGTCCCTCAGTCCCCATCTCTCCTCCCACCGACCTCCTCTAACCAGCTCGAGGGGGCCTTCTGTGACCAGCTCGAGGGGGCCTTCTGTGTGGCGGGAGGTCTGGAGTCAGGAGGCATCGTCTATGCTCGCCAACCAACGCTGGGCTCTACCTGACCCCCCCCCCCCCCCCCCTCCTTTTCCCTAGGCGATCGAGGACGACGGCGTGCTCGCCAACGTGAACGCGCGCTCGGCGCAGCTCGTGTCCGGCCTCGAGGCGCTGCGCTCCAAGCGGGAGGGCGTGATCGCCGAGGTGGCGTGAGAGCACCCCGTTTGCCGTGAGTGGGATGGCCCGTCCCTGCACTCACCCAAGAGTACAACCCCGGGGGGCCCAGACCGAAAGAAAGCACGGCGACACCGTCAGACACGCAACACGGGGTGCCCAGGGGAAGGCGAGGGCCGAAACTTATCGCGCGCGCCAGACGCGACTCGGAGGCCGCGCCACGGTCAGACGCGCGCGGCCTCACGCTTAGGTCCGCGGCTGGGGGCTCCTCCTCGGCGTCGAGCTCACGGCAGAGTGCGGCTTCACCGCCGCGCAGCTGACCGCCGCCGCGATGCGCAACGGGCTGCTCACCGTGCCCGCGGGCGAAAAGGTGCTGCGGCTGGTGCCGCCGCTCATCGTCTCTGCGGAGCAGGCCGACCGCGCCGTCGGCATCCTCGATGCGTCGATGGCGGAGCTCATGGCTGGGCAACGGGAGTGAGTGAAAGGGGGGGGGGGGGGTAGGCGCCTCGAGAGCGCGCGGAGTCTCTCTCGGCTGTCGGCTGTCGACTAATCGGTTGTAGCATACACGGTAATCTTAGCCGCCCCGGACTCGCAGGAGTTCTCGCGCACAACACAGAGACCGAGACAGAGTGCTAGCATCTCTCAAAAACCCCACGAGCGAGCGGGCGCCCATCGCGACCGCCCGGCGGTGAAAGCAGTAAGCACCGGCGCACCAGAGGCGAGAGGGGACTCCTCGCTCGGACGTCGAGCTCGAGGGATGCAGCCCTGTCCCCTCCACCGCCCCCCCTCTCTACCTCTCTCTCTCTCTCTCTCTCTCTCTCTCTCTCTGGCACATATACCCAGACGGCTCCGGCGGCGGCCAAATCATACAGGCAACAGAGCTAGCAACAGAGCACTCCCAACCTGCCCCTCCGTCGTCTACGCGTCCACCTCCTCCTTCTCCCCAATCTCCAAGCCCTCCACCTGCCTCATCTTGAAGATCCCGCCGTAGCGCGGCTCGAGTGTCTCCACCTGGGCCTTCATCTCCGGGTGCGCGAGCAGCTCCTGGAACGCGGCGCCCATCGCCTTTTGGCCCTCCGACGTCTTGGACAGCGAGGCGAGCGCGCCGTCGATGGCCTTCTGCGACTCGGGGTTGGCGACCTCGACCTTGGACATGTACCGCTTGAGGTTCGCCTTGCGGATCGTGCTGAGCGAGGCCTCCTCGTTGTTGAGCGCCTAATGCTCGATAGTCTGCCGTCGGCAAGCGCCCGTTTGCAGCTCGAGCCGCACCTCCGCGTCGAGGCGCGCCATCTTCTCGAGCCGCGCCAGGGCGCGCTCCGCCTAAGAGGAGAGAGGTGGCAGTGGGTACAAAAGGAAAGGGTGTCGCAAAAGAGGCTTGCTCTTTGGAGGGAGGGAGGG